GGCATAGAGATGAACCATTTGTATACATGAAGTCATTGAGTGTATTGAGAGAGAAATGGGTGAGAAAAAAAAATGCCATTCCATGAAAGGCCAACCACTGTTAAAGGGATATATGACTGAAAAGTTGCATTTTTTCTCCTTTTTTTTTGAGAAGGATGGACCTAGGAACAGAAGACAGCTAAAAGACACTGCTCTTTTGTGATTCTGAGAGCCCAGGAAATTGAGTTTCAGAAAGGAAGATAAATTCTGTAGGCTCAAATATTACAATTGGGCTTGTGGTAGTTCACATAAGAGCACTATTCTTACGGTGTGATAATTACTAGAAACTTAATCATGACATTTCAGAGGAATTCTGGGAATATAACCCAAACTGGATTTAGTGTAAACGGGATCTGAGTTATTGAACACAGGAACCACACATCATTCTCACGAAAAGTGTGAACATAAAAGGAAGAACAGTAGTAGGCAGTGGTTAGAGGTAGAAACGGAGATTAAAGAAGTGTATAAGAGTTCTTGCAATATTCTGAAAGATGTGAACGATTTTATAGTATAAGGAGAAAACAACTTGTAATAAGAAAGAAATTACCATGTTGGATGGCTAGTGCATTGAATTTTTTCTTCCTAAAAAATTACATTGTTGTTGTTGTTTATTGTCTTTGAGTCGAGCACAAGTCATAGCGACCCTATGAACAAAAGGCCTGAAGCCCCTCAACAACTATTGACATTTATCAAAGTTCATAGAGTTATTTAGGAAGTGGATGCCACTTCTGCTTTCAAACCTGTCATAGAATTTTATTGGTTGAGTTGTCTGCAATGCATAGCAACCCTGTGTACAGCAGCACTGAACCTTTCCCTGTCCTGAGAAAGTCTCACTAATTCTTATACTCCAACCCCCATTGCTCCAGTTACTGTATCAATCCATCTCATCCAGGGTCTTCCTCTCCTGTGCTGTCCATCCACCCTTCCGAGCATGATGTCCTTCTCTAAGGACCAATCTCTCCTGGCCACATGCCCAAAGTAAGTGAGGTGTAGCTTCAAATTCCTAGTCTCTAAGGAGATACTTTTTTCCACCCTCTCCAAGATAGACCTCTTTGTTTTCTTGGAAGTCCATGGTATGTTCAAGACTCTTCTCCAGCACTACAACTCAAAGAAATCTATTCTTCTGTCATCGTTAGTCATTGTCCAGATCTCTGAAGCATAGCAAGTAATTGAGAAAACTATAGCCTGGATTAGGCACACCTTTGTTTCTCGACTGATATTGTTGCTCTTAAGCACTCTGGAAAGGTCCATGACAGCAGATTTTCCCAGTGCTGTTTATCTTTTGATTTCCTGACTGTAGGTATTAAGAGTGTTGATTGTGGATCCGAGCTAGCTGTAATTGCTAACAACCTCAATCTCTTCTCCATCTATTATGGTGCTTGCTGTCAATTGGCCCAGTGGTGAGAATCTTTTTGTCTTCTTGATGTTGAGCTTCAATCCATATTGAAGACTATAGCTCTTGACCATTTGCAGCAAGTGCTTCAGGTCTTCTTCAGTTTCAGCAAGGAAGGTTGTGTCATTTGCATATCGTAGGTTGTTAATGAGTCTCCCCCCCAATCTTAATGTCACACTCCTCCTCATAAAGCCCTGCTTCCCAAATGATCTGTTCTGCATACAGACTGAAAAGGTACAGGGATAGGATGTATCCCTGATGCACTCCTTTCTTGATTTTGATCCATGCAGTGTTTCCTTACTCTGTTCTGAGGACTGCTTCTTGGTCCAAGTATCGGTTTCATATAAGCACGACCAAGTGTTCTGAGATTCCTATTTTCCTCAGTTAGACACAGTTTATTGTGATCCACACAATTAAAAGCCTTTGCATAGTTAATGAAGCACAGACATTATTCATGGAGTTAATTTTATAGAGGATGTTTCTTCTCTGTTGTCATTGCCTCTGTTGTTGTATACCATCAAGTCAGAGGATACCCATAGCTGACCCCTCATCAGGTTTTCAGAGGCAGTAAATAGTTTGGAAGGAAATTGCTGATCCTTTTTCTTCAGAGCAACAGGAGAATTCAAACTGCATGCCTTTGGGATTGTAGTACAGATTCTTACCAGTAGGCCACTTCTGTATACAGATCAGGAAGGCAAATGAAAGAGATGATAAATGTTGTAAATTAGTTTAATAAATGAGATAATATATGTGAACTTATTTACTAGAAAACATATGTTAATAAGAACTATCATTCCATTTTGGAAATATTTAGATTTTTCTCTTTATCAATTTTACCCACTTTTTGAGATTTGAACTTTCTCCAAACAGGTAAATAATTCAAGCATCTTTGTTCTTTCTTATTCCCAGAAATTGAAAATTGTCTTTTATAATTGTTGTTGTTGTTATGTACCATCAAGCCAAAACCAACCCACAGCTGACCCTCCAGTCGATTTTCAGAGGCAGTACTCACATAGGAGAAGATCGCCCATCCTTCTCCCTTGGAGCAGCTGGTGGCCTTGAGCCACGTGGCGGTGGGATTTCAGTGCAACTCTTTGTCACTAGGCTACCAGAACTCCATGCAACCTATCAATTTCAAGATCAGATTAATTGTTCCTTAAACCATTGTATTTAAAAGTCAGTTGGGCCCAAGAATTATTATATTTTGGAGGAACATTCTTCTAAGTCATACAACAAACACTATTCTGTCAATTTGCTGTTCTGAGGTAATCTGAGTTTGCTGTGATGCTGAACCTTGTGCCATTTGGGTTAAATGTCATAAAGGTTGTCCATGGTGAACAGTGTTTGATGGATCTCCAAGTTTAAGACAGATTCAAATCAGGAGTGGCATCTACTTCCTAAACAGTGTGCCTCTTCAAACTTGGAGAAACCACAATAGTTATAGAAAGGCTTCACGTCTTTTGTTCATAGGGTTGCTATCGGTCAAGCTGGACTCGATGGCAATAACCAAGAACAACAACAGTTTATATGGGATCTCTGGTGGCTGGTTTGTAGGAAGTTGCCACCATAATACAAATGTTGTATGTACCTGCTAGTTTGAATACACTGTGTGAGAAATATGATCAGTCTCCTAGGCTAAGCTGTACGGCTCTGGAAACCTGATACATGGTTGCTATAAGTTGGAATTGACTTAATGAGCAGTAGAAATCAACCATGTTATAAAAATAGACATTGATATTGTAAAAAGAGAACAGCATGAGGACAATCACATCTGACATCTGTTAATATCACAAAGGGGAACAGTCTCCATAAACAACGTCCACATTAGAGAACCAATTCTCATTAGGTCAGACATGGCCTCCACACTTTTGCACCTCTTTCTGCTAATTTCAGCACCAATCATAACTGCTGTATTGTTTTTGTTGTGGTTTATTACCATGAATTTGAGCACAACTCATAGCGACCCTTTGAGCAAAAGACCTGAAACCTTTTTATAACTATCATAATTTCTCCAAGTTCTTGAAGTTTCTAGAGGCATGCTGTTTAGGAAGTCGATGCCTCTCCTGCTTCCAAATCAAATAATTATTTCAAATAATTACATAATATGTTGAATATTTTAAAGTTCTCAGAAAAATTCATTTTTCCCAGTAATTTTTTTTTCTCTTTAACCGCTGTTCCACCATCCTCAAAACTCTGGTCACGTAGTGATTAAAGTGTGAGGCTGCTGTCTGAAGGGTTAGTAGTGGTTTGAACCCATCATCTGAACTATAGGAGAAACTATGGCAGTCTGCATCTGTACAGATTTATGACCTTGGAAACTCTCTACCCTTCAGGTTGTTATGATTTGAAATAGACAGTGTGTTTGTAACCTTTTTTTTCTTTTTTTTTTTTCTTTTATACAAGTATTTCAAAGGCCTTAGCAGCTGGCAACTTAAATGCAGTTTGATTGACGAGCAGTATTTCAGAGATCCAGTAGATGTGCTAAAATGTCTCAAAGATACTTGCTGATTGCAAGAGAATTGGGATCATCTGAAAACAAAAACAGAAACAATTTTTTTGTGATTACATTATGAAATTTGTTCAGTTCCATGACAATTTCTTTTCATAGACATGATATAATTATCACTCAGGTACCGAGAGCAGGGTCCAGGATAGACTCCGTTACTCATATTGCTGTCTAAGGAACCTCTTAGGAAATCCCATGACGTTTATGATCTGTAGAGGAAGGTGTCACAGGACAGTGAACTGAAATTTGCCCCTTGTTCCCATGACGTTTATGATCTGTAGAGGAAGGTGTCACAGGACAGTGAACTGAAATTTGCCCCTTGTTCTGAAATCCAAGCAAACAGCATGGACAGCATTCTTTATATCTGCTTCTTTTATGATGTCTAGATGGCTGTGGTGACCTAGTAGTCCGTAGGGAGCTGCCCTCCTCACTCAAAGGTGATGCCTTTCTGGTGGTTCAAATCTATTAGCAGCTCCCTGGAAAAAATATTGGTAATTTCCTTCTGGGTATGTATTGCCTTGGAAACTTAATGGAGCGTCACCCATGAGTTGGTTCTGACTCGAAGGCAGTGAGAGTCATGCTGTCTGATTAACTGTTGAGTCTTTTCCTCTTGTCTTAGACAACTCTGACTTTTCCTGGCAGCCACGGTCAGCTATCCACCTGGCAACATGACTGCCTAAAGAGGCTTCTCATGTATATATGCTTGCTTTCGAAAAGTTGCTTTTCTGAAGGGATGAAAAAATGTGTGTGCTCCATGAAGAAACCCAGGTGGTTGGAATTCTAGAGGAAACTTCATGGGGAAACTTCAGTGGTGTTACAAGGATTTTTGAAAATAATTCTTAATACTTTCTAATGCTATATAAAAGTGACTGATTCTGATCCAGTATATTTTCTCCTGAGGAATTATTTCCTTCTATTTAGAATTATTTTTATAGTACCAGGTCAGCATTTTACTGCCCCGTTAACCATTTTTATTTTTGGAGTATAAAAGAAAAAATTGTGGTTTATGTGTAGTAATATATTTCTGTCTCCAAATTTCTGTATTTTTTTTCTCTTATGCAGGGGTTTGCTTCTACAGGAGAACAGCAGGTTTACAGAAGCCCTACATTATTATAAATTGGCAATTGGGAGCAGGCCCACACTAGCTTGTAAGTAAGGTTCAAGTTCTTTTAAAATATACCTCTCCCTTCTTCTTTATCTGTGAAAATGACTTTTGTTCTTTACAGCCTCACAGGGGAAAAATATGGTCCACCTCTGTCTAAGTGATTGGTAGGTGCCGTCAAGACAGTTCTGACCCATAACAACCCCATGTACAACAGAATGGAACACTGTCTGGTCCTGCACAGTCCTTATGGTGTTTATATGTTGACACTTTACTGTTGCTGCTACTGTCCTAATCCATTACTCTCTTACTCACTGACCCTCTGCTTTACAGCACAGTGGCCTTCTCGTGGGACCGTCCTGCATGAAAACACATCCAGACTGTGTGAGACAAAGTCTCAGCATCCTCATTCTAAGGAATGTTCTGGATGTACTTTTTCCAAGACAGTTTTATTTAGTCTTCTGTCATTTAATACTATACACAGTATTTCTTCCAATACCTTAATTCAAATGCATTAATTTTTCTATACTCTTCTTTATTCATTGTCCAGCTAGTTCATGTGTATGAGGCTCTTGAAAATACCATGGTGTGGAAAGTGCCACCTTATTCTTCTTTGATTTTCTGGAGGAAAAAAAAAGCAATTTATGCAGCAGATGTAGGCAGCTCTGGTGGAATTTGTTGTTATTGTTGTTATGTGCCATTGAGTCACTTTTGACTCAGTGACCCTGTGTAGAATAGCTCTAAACTCTACCCTGCCTTGAGTCAATTTCATTGTCTCTGACACACCTACCCCCCATTACTCCAGTCACTGAGTCAATCCATCTAATGCAGGGTCTTCCCTCCCCCTTGTGTTATCCCTCTACCTGACCAAGCATGATGTCTTTCTCCAAGGACTGGAACCCTTCTGGAAATATGCCCATAGTATGTGAGATGGAGCTTGTTACTTTTGTGTACCATCAAGTCAGAACTGACCCATAGCTGAATCTTCAGCAGATTTGCCGAGGCAATAAATCTCATGGGAGAAGATTGGCCATCTTTTACCTAAGAAGAATGGATTTGAATCATGTGTTTTTGTGTTAACAGTTGAGTTCCTTACACCTGGGCCACAAGAGTGTAGCCCATAGCTAAAGGCTTCTCCAGGCCAGCACAGATTTTTCTCAGTGTAAAATGTCATTTAATTCCTTAGCTCCTGTTTTTATTGATGCTAATTGTTTCTGCTTATATTATAAACCTCTCGCAATTACATCTGGGACTCTGTTGGCCTGGTAGGTAAGGAGTTTCTCTTTAAACCCAAAGGTCATCTCCTACCCAGAGAAAGATGTATAATCTCATCATGAGGGATTTATTGCCTCTGAAAACTTGCCAGATAGTTAGATATCATTTAGTTCATATTTGGTGGCAATGAATCAATGAAGCAATAATTACATCTTTCTTACTTCTATCATATTTTGATGTTTGTTGATAATATTTTTAATCTTAAGAAATAATTTCTACTACATTTTAAGTTAGAAATGCTTTGAACCTCAAGTGTAGACTTATCTACTATACATATGTATGTACCTATAACTCATTGCTACCAAGTCAAAACTGACTCATAGCTGACCCTCCAGCAGGTTTATAGAGACTATTAAGCACACAGGAGGAGATTGCCTATCTTTCTCTAGTCAAATGGCCGGTAGATTTGAACCATGAGAGAGATGCCCCCTTTGGATTAGCGCATAACTCCCTATGGACCATGCCCTACATATGATACCTTTGGTTCACACTACGTTATTGATGTTATACATATTTGTTCCAATATTTGTTTTGTGCCTTACCCTAATAAGCAGAAATAATCTATTGAAGCAAAATTTAAGCAACAATAATTTAAATATATTCAACATGTACAACAGTTTCTTCCAATACTTTCATTGTTTTCTCTCCTCAGCTGCATATTTAAACACCGGTATTATTCTAATGAACCAAGGAAAGACAGAAGAAGCTCGACGAACATTCCTAAGGTGTTCAGAGATCCCAGATGAAAACCTAAAGGATCCTCATGCTCACAAGAGCTCTGTTACCAGCTGTTTGTACAACCTGGGAAAACTCTATCATGAGCAGGGACACTATGAGGTAGGTCACTCTCTCTGGTCCTTTCTTCTCATTCCTTTGTCACAGTATAATCCTTAGAGTGGCAATATTCCCATCCTGGAAGAAGCCAATACGTGCATTAATCAAAATGATTTTGTGACCAACTTACTGTGAAAAACAAAACAGAACACTTCCCCTGAACCAAATTGAACAGATTTCTTTACTGTGCAGTTTTTCAGAGCTATTTGAATATGTAATATGTATTATGACTCTTTGAAAATGGAATATTAACATGTACTATCTCTCAAGCTTATCTATTCCTTTTGTGTGTATTTTAAAAATAAATGATCGTGACTTATTTTCTAAAATTGCTGTTGAAAGTATTGATGTCTTTAAAGAAATACACTGTTTATATTTCTCCTTTATTAGGAGGAAGATATTTGGTGTAAACCTATTGTGTGTAAATCTATTAAAAACTACAGTGAAACAAAAATTTACTTTATTTTGGGGGTTGTTATTGTAGTTGATTGTGTTCTAGTCAAGCACAACTCATAATGACCCTATGAACAAAATGCCAGCGGCCCCTCTACAACTATTGATGTTTATCAAAGTTCATAGAATTTCCGGAGACAAGTTGTTTAGGAAGTTGATGCCACTTAATGAAAATGCTAGTGTGTGAAAATGCTGTACAGGAAATTAAGACATGACCCTGCGTCATCTCTCTCACCATAAGCCTGCCTCTGTCCACCCGTTCTCTCATGTTGTCATCTCCTTAGTTCAGTTGCCTCACAAACCCACCTTTATATATATGCTTTTAAAGAGTCAAATGGAAGAGAGATGATACAGATTTTAAAATTCATGCTCATTTAATTTTTCTTTTGGATTTCCAGTACCTAAAGATTTGTTTAGTTTTTCAATTCAATCCTCTTGAACTTAGAGACTTCAAATTAATGGGGAAATTTATATGTTTTTAAATTATTTCAAAATATGAATTTTTGCAGTTCATTTATTGGATAATGTGTTTAAAGTGGAAAATTTATAATCCAAAAATGTTGCTAGCATTAGATTACTTGTTACATTACATTTTATGTATAATTCTTGACTAACTGCGTCAAGTATTTTCATTCATGGGGTTGAAGTGATATCATAGGACAGCTCAATTCTTTTTTTTTAATGAACCATTTTGAATTTGCACTGGAAGAATATTGAGAGAATTTTGTACCATATTTTCAGTAAATATCTCCATAACTCAGTAATGATTTTTGTTATTTTTTTTCATTAGGATGCCCTTACTGTATATAAGGAAGCGATTCAGAAAATGCCAAGACAATTTGCCCCACAGAGCTTGTACAACATGATGGGTAAGTAAAACATTAGTATTTTAGCTAATATTTCAGGAACCTGGGGGAAAATGGAAACATGTTTGAATTAAATAAAAATATAAAAATGGAAATGTTGATTCTCACATGGGGGGGAAGATACCCTTATTCACAACTGAGTCTCATATCCAAATACTAGAACATACTCCTGATGAGAGGAAATGAATTAGCCTGCTGATTCTCACAAAGCAACAATGTCAGTCTAGACGAAGGTCTGCCTAATCGTGGCCATCATCTTTGCAGTTACTTGCTATGCATCAGATAACTGAATAGTGAATAAGATGACAGAAGAAACACCTATGCTTTTGAGTTGTGATGCTGGAGAAGAGTTGAACATACCATGGACTGACAAGAAAACAAATAGGTCTGTTTTGGAAGGGTGAAACCAAGTTACTCCTTGGAGGCTAGGATTTTGAACTTCTGGCTCACATACTTTGGGCACGTGGCCAGGAGAGAGCAGTCTTTGGAGAAGGACATCATGCTTGAAAGGCTGGTGGGACAGCTCAGAAGAGGAAGACCCAGGATGAGATGGAATGATACAGTGATTGGGGCAATGGAGGTTGGTGTGTCAGAATTTAGTCAGACTGGCTCAGGATAAGGAAAGGCTTCAGACCTCTTGTACATAGTGGTCGCTATGGGTCACAGGTGACTTGACTGCACACAATATCAGCTGATTCCAGCACATTGGCTAAAGATTCCTGTAATATTCCAGAACTATGGCAAGAAAAACAAATACACCTTGTTTAAATGAATTTGTCAAATTTATGAAAATTTTTCTATTTTTACTGTCTTTTTTTGATAGTGAAAATGTACTTTATTTTTTTTTTACTGTCTTAATCAGAGGATTCTCAAAAAGAAAACTTCCATGTTGAAGAGATTTATGATTCTTGAAGTTTCTAAATGATGAACCATAACTATATGATCTTCCTTAATCTGACTTCGGATATTTGGGTTTATTCAAGTTAGCATTTTATAGGAAAAAGAGAACACCCTAAGTGCAGTAAATGAGAAACTACAATTAATTTTTAACTGTGAACAATTAGTTAAATATTAATATTCTTGTCAAGGAGTATATGAATCTAGAGCTTAGATTTTTCTGGGTATAAGAAGTGAAACAGAATCCCTAAAGAACATTTACTTACCACGTGCAAGATAGATCTATGCGTTCTTTGTAATAAATTGTGATGGCTACTGGCTTAGGGAGTAAAAAAAAATAGTCCTGTCACCCTGAAGAAATGTAGTTCAAATCTACTACCTGCTTCATGTGAGAAAGAACAATCTCCTGCCATGCAGTTTATAGCGTCTGGAAACCCACTGGAGGATCAACTATGAGTCAGTGCCAACTGGAAAGCAGTGACTTAAGTTATTGACAAGTGAGATAGTGGGTCAAGTTGGAAACCACTTACTTAGCATGTGACTCTTGAAAAGAGTTCCTAATTTATAGTGCTTTGTTACTGATAATGGTGCTATCTCAGGGAAAGCGGGGGCAGTGGGGGGCGGGGAAGAAGAAATTGCCGTTATCCTATGTGAAGTGTGTGTGTTGAAAGCACAAAACGGTACACATCACCATTTTCTTCAAATTAAGTTATATTGTTTAATATTTCTATGTCCCTCTATGTGTTAAAAAATGAGATTAGATGCCATTATCTTTAGGATTATTTTTTAATTTTGTATTCTCTCATTTAAAAAATTTGATAGTGTGGTGTAGTTTTTATAATGCAAAGTCTGTGCTTTAATAGATGTTCATATTAACGAAGATAATGGAGCATCATTTTATTTTTCATTTTTAGGGTTTTGGACATCCCCCCCCCCTTTGGTATAAATAATAACTGTACATTAAAATGTAGTGTCATTACGTGTACACATCTTTTCCCTCAAACTTTTCTGGATTAAAACGGTGTCTTTTACTATCTAGCTTTGTATCACGTGGATAAACGTACCTCTCATCAAGTGTGAGCTTAAAGCATACAGATTTATAAATTGAATTAACTTTTCTATATTAATGTTAAATGAGACGTTATGGCAAAATAACAATTAAAAAGATCACTTTCCCTAAATTTGCCTAACGAGGCACAGTGATTTTAAGTTGGCATTATTCTTAACTTTAATTTTTGAGATGGACTTATTCTCGATTTTACTCGAATGTCATATAAGATGTCTCTCTTTAAATTGGAAAAAGGTCTCTGAAATCCTTGACATCAGACTGCATATGGCATCTTCATTGTTAATGGGAAGTGGTGCTGTTCAGTATAGTTAATGATTTCAGAAAATTCGTTCAATTATTTTAAGTAAATAAATTTGATGGGGAAGTCAACTGGCACCTTGGGATCTGCCTGTCATATGGTTACACAGATGCAGAGCACACACAGGCAGCAAAAGACAAGTGTGTCCCCCGGGGGTTATTGCTTAGTCTTATGTCTTATTTTCCATTATAGAAGAAGGCAGTTGTTTTGCCCAGACTCTGAAAAGCAATTTTAACGATTTGCAGGGGAGGATTCCAGTGTAATTTAAAATTCATGATTCCTTCCATAAATTTGGTGGCTGCCTTCTATTTGACTTTATGTGTAGGTCTATCACTTGACCAGGTTTGGTAGTTTCAATTGTTCATGAAACTATTTATTTTCCTAGAGAATGAGTTCGCCCCCTAATCAAATGGATGGAATCCCCTGAGTTGTGCTTTAACTCCTGATACATTTTGATTGGTCTCCATTTGACAAGGAAAAAAATGACCCTGGAGATAAGCTGCCCTATCAGTTCATCAGTTTCATTAGTCTGTCAGCATGTGCTGATTATCCTATGAAGTTTATCAACAGTCTTGAATGTATTTTCTGACTCTCGCATTTACATTTTATTAGTGCCCTTTAGGGATCAGTGATGGATTATAATGTCTGGTTAGATTTAGCCTCTAAGTGTTAATTTTTCTCATGTCTCTCATTCATTTACCCCTTCATGACCACTGTTTCCCAACCACTTGTGTTTCTATATTCATCCAGTTCCTTTTCCCCCTTTCCTACTCTCTTCCTACCCAGTTCTGATTTACAGGTGATAAGAAACTGTAGAAAAATTCCCAATTTATTTGTACACCTTAATTACTTTATTTGATAAAACCATGGAAGTTCCTATAAAACTAAACATTTTAGTCTTCATTTTGATTCATTTACTTCACATTTTATATCTTTCAGACTTTATGAGAATAAAATATTTTAAATTGATTATTGTGGTATCAATTTGTAAGTAAATTTTAAAAGGACTATTTCAAATTATATTCTCATTACATCTGCTCTTTCAGTATAGATGCTTTTGTCATTGTAATGGAGGTCTGTAGAGGGTTGTGCTGCTGGCTGAAAGACCATGTCTCTTTGGTGCCAACTGAATTTCCCATCAAATTTATTTACTTAGAATAGTTGAACAGATTTTCTGAAATCTGATTTTTATGCAACTTGGAAACCCAAAGAAGGGTCAACCAACTCAATGACAATGAGAAAGACAAGAGGAAAAAGAATCCAGTTTCTGACCATTTTCTGTATTAGTAACATATGTCTGTCAGTAACCGTCACCAACATGCCAGGCTAGGATAATGTTGGTTGTGCAGGTTATGGTTATGTGTTAACTTGATTAAACTGTGATTGGCAACCTTTTAGTGATGTGTCATCCTCCAGTTTGTTATGTGATGTAATCATCTGATATTTGTACGTCATTACCATTTTCTGTTTAACTGAATGGTGTACAATTTGATTTCATAGACTCAAAGTTACTTAAGTGACAATAATGGCCATGCAGTATACCATGCATAATTACATCAATCACAATGAAATACAAATAATATACATACAGAATAATATGATAGTAACCAAAGTTGAACTTTTACTTCCCCTGGGTTTGTGAAAGATACGAAGTCATAAAATGCTTAGTTTTGCAGATGATACAACTTTGCTCACTGGAACTGAGTATACCTTGAAGTATCTGCTGCACAAGGTCAGAGGCCACAACCTTTAATATGGATTGCATCTCGACATAAAGAAAAAAAAAAAAACAATCCTTATCACCCAGCCAGTAAATAGTATATCATGTTAGGTGGACAAAGGATTAAGATTGTTAATGATTTCATCTTGTTTGAACCCGTAATCAACAGTCTAGGTACCAGCAGTCAGGAAATTGAAAGATAATTTGCTTTGTAAAATCTGTTGTCGAGGATCTCTCCTGAGTGCTAAAGAGTAACACAGTCAGTTTAGAGACTAAGGTACCCCTGATCCATGTTATAGTTTTCTCAGTTGCTTGCTATGCATGTGAGAGCTGGATAATGACTAAGGATGATAGAAAAGTAATGCCTTTGAATTATAGTTTTGGAGAAGAGTATTGAACATGCGGTGGACTGCCAAGACAAAAGTAGGGTCTGTTCTGGAGAGGGTGAAACCAATTTTTTCCTTGGAGGCAAGGCTTTTAAAACTCTGTCTCACATATTTTTGGCATATTGCCAGAAAGGACCAGTTCTTGGAGAAGTATATCATTCTTAGAGGGTAGAGAGTCAGCGCAGAAGAGGAAGACACTGGATTTGACGGATTGACACTGACTGTTGAAATGGAGTCAGTTATATTAGAGACAGTGAGGTTGGCTCAGGAGAGAGTAAAGTTCAAAGCGATTATTGACAGGTTTGTTATTAGTTGTAGTCAACTCGATAGCACATAACAACTGTCTAATTACTGTGGAATTGGTTCTGGCTCATAGCTGACCCTCCAGTGAGTTTCCAAGGTTGTAAACCATATATGAAGAAACTCTCTCTTCTGTCTGTCTCTCTCTCTCTCTCTCTCCCTCCCTCTCTCCCTTCTCTCTTCTCCATTCTCCCTTCTCCCTTCTCTCTCTCTCTCTTCTTCTCTTTTCTCCCTTCTCTCTCTCTCTCTCTGTTAGAAACATTAAGGTTGGCACAGGATAGAACAGGGCTCAGAGCTGATGTATGTAGGATCACTATGAGTCACAAGCGACTT